TAAGCCTCCTATATGGCAGAAAAGCATACATATTTATTGATTTGTCTTATACTTCTGTCTCAGTTGTCAGGGGCGGATCCAGCCATTTTAAAAAGGGGTGTCCCCATTCAAATGTATTGATCGTCCAAAAAATAGAGGAGGTTCCAACCCCCGGAACCCCCCCCCCCCCCCCCCCCCCCTCTGAATCCGCCACTGGTCTGTCTCAGTTGTCTACGCAAGGCAAGGACATATAACTAACAATCAAGATTTTCTATATGACTAAAAATTTTGAGGGACCACGTCCGTCACTATCCACTACCAACAGTGTGTGATTGGTTGATTGTTGGTTGCTTAACGTCCAGTTCAACAGTGTGTGTGTTAATATACTAAATGGCAATCGAATTTAAAATCATGAACATTGGTCGTTTTCATCACGTATATCTTATACGCTCATATCTTTTTTTCTATATAATAACTACAAATAACCCAAATTTCAAAATCTTGAATATACTATTGGGGACAACTTAGCTAGAATGATATAAACCTTATATATATACATACAACACTTAAGAATATGGTTGTGAATGTAAACTGAATAACCTAGTAACTTGATCACGGACGACCTCGCCGGCCAAGAACAACCAAACAAACGATCACGGACGACCTCGCCGGCCAAGAACAACCAAACAAACTCAATATTGCCAAGGGTAAAATGGAAACGTGTGTCCGAACCCAATGCCACAAATCGTCTCAAGATATAAACTCGGACGTGTTTTTACAAAGTTTTCATGATTTTGAAAACGTATAAACACATGATAAATACATTATCATAATAATATTCATTATACCTGTTGGAACTTGATTTTTTTCCTGTCTGCGGCGGGCTAATTAATCTCAAAGGGGGGGGGGGGGGGGGAATCCCCGCTATAATATTGGTCACTTGTCTTATACCTAGTTACGTAAACTAATTAAATTATACGCGTATACTAGTACCGTCAATACAATAATTTCTTCGAAACGTGAGAAATTATACTTGTTGAGACTTGACGCTTCCTAATCGAGGATGTATGTATATTTCGGCCTCTAAATGTATATAATTGATAGTGCACCTATCTATGGAATTGCCGCCTTTAATGTATATGACATACAAGGAAAAAGAAAAAAGAATTACAAAATATTAAGATTAATTTATTGTGATTGTTCGTTTTTACGAGCGCAAATATTTAATTAATTTTAAGGGCGAAAAGAAGTAGAATAAAAGAACAGAGTTCCAATGTCCCCCGCGTTGCACATATTTTATCTATCCAGGGGCAATAACTAAAAAAAACCCCACTTTTTTGTTGTTCTTAAAAACAATTTATAAATAAAAAGCGTGCGCCGGGGACAATAATTTTTTTAATGTATACTAAATATTTCAAACAGACCTTCAAGGGCATTTCTTATAGTATACTATAAGTTTTATTAAAAAATGTACCCGTGAGAGCGCTAACGAGGCCATTTTCCATAAATTTAATATTTCCAAGGGTCATAACTCTTTTTAAAAAAGTCGATCGTTCACCATTATAGAACTAATGAATACATTCATTTTTCATGCGACTTTATGCTACGTTTAACTATTAGGAAATCAATTAAATAATCTGGAAAAGTTAAACCTAATTATAGGTCACGAGTCAATTCATGTGAATTAATATTATATAACTAAATAAGTTTAATTAAATATGCAAAGAAAAATCAATTGGAAGCGCAATGTGTGGATTTGTGTTAAATCAATATACCACTATAAATAAAAATATTGGTCGTTTTGCATACCTAGTTAAAATTAGACGCTCCCTCATCGAGTATTTCCGTGACTTTTTTTCCTTTGACTTTTTTTCCTACATTCGACTGCATGTATATGTCGGCTTCTAAATGTATATAATCATATAATCTCTGAATTTGTATTTATCTAAGGAATTGCCCCCTCATTAATCTAACAAACCTTGCATCTGCTTTTATTCTTATAATTATGAAAGTTGCAAGTAAAAGAACTTTGACGATACTTGTCAGCTGACCCCAGCAGGCATCCAATGTTGTACAGACGTGAATATTTGGTTGAAAATAGGTCGCAACGTCGGCGACCTAAATTCAACGTCGGTACAACGTCGACTGGCAATCGTCTGTCGGACGTTATAGAATGACGTCTATATAACCTTGGTTTTTGGTCGCGACCTTATACAAAGTCAACACAACGTCGGATTCCAAATGTCTGTCGGACGTCTAAATTAATCTAAAATATCAAAATCACTCGTACACGGACATATATACTCAGCAGGCACGCAACTTTTTATTAGTCCCCTACCGACGAAGTCGAAGGGGACTTTAGGTTTGCACTCCGTCTGTCTGTCGGTCTGTCTGTCCATCTGTCAGTCCGGCAAATCAGTTTTCCAGACTTTTTTTCTTCTTGCTTGGAGATATTGATGTGATATTTGGTTTATTGATTTATCATGACAAGTTACAGGTCAAGTTCAATTTTCACGATTTTAGCTTTTCTCTTTGTTCAGTTAAAGCCCTTTCCCTAGAATTAAATTTTTGATGAAATACTTATTAATTAGTAGATTTCTGTTCAAAAGGATTTTTTAAAAGACTTTTAAAAGACAAAATGACATTTTGGATTTTTTTCCTTTTCTTTGATAAATTGTTTGAAGAATTTAGTTGTAGGTTTGTTTGTCATTCTTGAATATATTGATTTGATAATTAGTATATAGTTTTATCATGACAAGTCACGGATCAAGTTGGAATTTTGTTCCAGTCTGATAATTTTGTGCAGACTTATGGTCTTTGGACATAGAAAATTCACTTAAATAATCAATTTTCAACAGTTTTTTTCATCATGCTTGAAATTTTGACTTGATATTTTATGTAGTTTACACCATGACAAGTTATAGATCAAGTTAGAATTTCGTTCCTTTACAATGAATTTGTAACCGGTAGGGGACTATGTTTTGCCATGCAATACTCACAGAATGCTTGTTTATAGATGTGGTATGAGTGCCAATGAGACAACTCTCCATCCAAGTCAAAATTTATAAAAGTAAACCATTATAGGTCACAGTACGGTCTTCAACACGGAGTCTTGGCTCGCACCGAACTGTAAGCTATAAAGGGCCCCAAAAATTACTAGTGTAAAACCATTCAAACGGAAAAACCAACGGTCTAATCTATATAAAAAACGAGAAACGAGAAACACTTATGAACCACATCAACAAACGACAACTACTGAACATCAGATTCCTGACTTAGGACAGGTGCAAACAAATGCAGCGGGTTTAAACGTTTTAATGGTACCAAACCTTCACCCTTTTTCTGAAACAATAGTGTAACATCACAACATAGAAAGACACACTATAAAATATCAACTGAAATAGCTTAACTCAATCAAAGGACATATTAACACCATTGAACATACACTGAACAAGTAAATTTGACCTATGATACAATGTAAATACAAAATAAATAAACTAAGGGAAGAATAATAAAAGTAACATGTTATATCGGTAAGAAATGTTAAACAATTAAAGAAAAACAATATGCTCGAACAAAAATACCATCCATTTGCAATAACTTTAAACACAGGTAAATGAAAATAATTTTGTTGTTAGGTATACGTGTACAGTACCAATAGAGAAAGGAAATATAATTACAAAATACATAATTTTGATGTTCATAGTACGAAGTGAAAATTTATAGTTATACCAAACACTTATCAAAGATGGTATATAGACCAGATATAACCCTGAATAACATTAGATAACAAAAAAGCAATACAATTAGTATCAACAGGTCAAATAAACAAGAAAGTACGATTTGAGAGTACTAGCAGTTACTGACAGCTAGTTAAAAGCCAAAACAATTAATAATAAAAAATCATGCATCAGAGACTAAAATCAACTAAAACACATCCCAGGGATTTAGTATTTTAACGTCATGGACAGTCAAAGAAGACATGACTAGTGCAATGCCAAAAATAAATGTATCGACAGACAGTAGGATAGTCAGGAGTTTAACCTCTTTATAGATCTAAACGAACGTGGGTGTGTCTTAATACATCCCACTTGAAAAAAATACAAATTTTGTTATGTTTTAATTTGCTGATGACAAAATCGATATTAGTGCCAATGTAAACTATATTCAAAGATCTAATTACAACATTGGTAAGATAACCTTTACTAATAAGCCTGTTTAAAGGTTCGATGAGTTTACACGGATCACATAGTGATTTCCGCGCTTTAAGTACAAAATTACCGTAAAATTTAGGATGTGAAATACCGTTTTTAATCAGTTTTCTACAAGTACAGCCAAATTTACTTATCAAATCTTTGTATCTATGAAAGAACTTAGCAAAAGTTTTACGTAATTTATGGTAACGAAATCCTTGGTTTACTGATGTTTTTCGAATTAATTCAATGTTTACTTTTGCTACTGTATAAAAATCTTCAAATTATTGACATGATAAAAGTGAATGAATCACTTTAAAAAAATTTCGAAGTAAAATATTGTAATCACAAACAGATTTGATTTCAATTGGCGCATGCGTATAAGGCCGACATTTCGAATTTATGTGCGCCAATATTTGATTACAACAACAATTTCTTCGACGTTTCATATACATACTTAGGTTACAGTTGCTGTAAAATGTGCAAAGTAAGTATAATTTTCATTTATTGTTTGCTTTAATAATAGATATATGATAATTTAGTGTAAACAGTATTGTAGCTGTAATTATTCACAAGATTGAGTTTAAGTGATTTGTGTAGATCAGATCTCGGATCAGATATGATTTATAATTATGCACGTGGTCTGTCATATTTCTGCAGAAAGGTGACCTTAAGATATATTTGACTTATATATTGAAAAATGGGTAAAAGAACGTACTTATTTTAAAAAATTATGAACAATGATTTGATAAAAAGCATAAATTCAAAATGGACAAATGAATTTTTCAACTTGTAACGACTTCTTCAAAATTCTATCATTGCAGATACATGGAGGATGGATTCATAATAGATCATGGAATATCGGATGAAAAAGAAGAATATTGTATTCGTCTGGTAAGTAATTATTTATAACACCTTTATGGCTTATTGAAGTTCACCTAAGTAATGCTCAAACGATAAAATTTCGTTCTTATATGTTGATGTAATTAAAAGTCCAAGATTTACAACACATGACATTTTTGACCTTGAAATACATTTAAAACAAACAATTTCGTTCTACTCTAGCTGACACTCACGGCATGTATTCCAACATGTTATCGGTGAAGTAATGTGCAGATAAGAAACATGTGTGACCACTGCAAATTAATACACACTCTGACCAATTTCAAAGTGGTTTATATGATAACGTCAAAATAGATGATGTATTTGATACTGATGCTTTATCAATTGACCGTACTTAATTATTACAGCACAAAAAAAAAAAAAAAACAAGGAAAAAGCAAATATTCCTAATATAGTTTTGATATACGTAAATTAAAAAAGTATCACAAAATACTGGAAGTTATTACAGTTTGAAGAAGAATGTAAACAAAGTTTCAATGTTTAACCACCTCTTGCGTATAGCAAACATGCCAAAAATATCTATTGATGAAGAATTTAAATATAAAATAAAATATATCAATATAATTAATTATACATGAATAATATTTATTTTGGATCATACTAAAACTATAGGGGTCTATCTGGCAATGTAGGATACATTTTTTATTGGTATTTTATGTTACAAAATGTGTGTTTGTCAAGAACTCGGTGCTTGTGGTGCATTATAGTGACTGTCACGATTCGGTACTTGCAGTGCAATAACTACTGTTTCCCAAGATGAGTGATTGTACAGATCTCGGTGCTTGTGGGGCATTATTGTGACTGTCAAGATCTTGGTGCTTGCGGTGCATTATTGTTTCCTAAGATGAGTGACTGTGAAGATTTCGGTGCTTGTGGTGCATTATTGTTTCTCAAGATGAGTGACTGTCAATTTCTCGGTGCTTGTGATGCATTATTTTCTCCAAAGATGAATGAGTGTCAAGATCTCGGTGCTCGTGATGCATTATTGTTTCCCAAGATGAGTGACTATCAAGATCTCGGTGCTTGTGGGGCATTATTGTATCTCAAGATGATTGACTGGCAAGATCTCAGTGCTTGCGGTGCATTATTGTTTCCAAAGATGAGTGACTGTCAAGATCTCGGTGCTTGTGGTGCATTATTGTTTCTCAAGATGAGTGACTGTCAAGATCTCGGTGATATTTCAAGATAATTTGAAAATTTGGTTTTATATTTTCCATCATTGATCTGTGTTTGCAATGTATGGTCCTTGCTTTATAAAAAGAATATAAAGAATATTTTTACTCTACCTAGAACAATTTGTAATTGAAGTCAGGGGTTTAACTCTTTGCCTCAAAATTTGCTTCAAACATCAATAATGCAGCACTAACGACATTATGCTGTAAACACTAACTGTTTGGTTTTTACATAAATTATATATTTTTTATTTAAGAACGGAACATGACATACAGGTAATAGCAGCTTACATGAAGTATCCACCTGACAGAATGGGAGGAGTGGTCGAAAGAATAAAGCTGGGTCATCAAATGATTGAGCATCAGACATCAATAGAAATAGAGCAGAAAATTGACACTGATTTTTTTTAAAATACCACATTAGAATATGTAGATTCATTCAATAATTTATTGTTTTGTTTCAACACATATTTCAAGTGTTCAAAGCTCATATTTCTGCCTTTTAGACCCTAGCTAGTTGATATTTGTTGTTTTTTCCTATATTTACTTGACAAAACCTTATATGTCCACTGTAGGCTCTGCATATCAAGTCAAAAATACTGGTCAAGCCCGGACAATGCGAGCGTTTTTGAACCCCTGGTCAACAGCAAATTGATGTGCTAAGGTAGTTGTGGAGACATGTCCACCAGCACTGAATTATAAGGTTACCAACCTTTGTTGGAAGGAATGAATTTCTGAGGTTTTAAAGATGATGACGCACTTATTCAGGACAGGACGTTAACTTGAATGAATTATTGTTTCATTGCCTTAAGTTGTCCAATTTAAGAACGTTAATAAGGATTTAATTTGGTCCTTAATTAGCTCTGAAGACATCTGAGGATATTTAAAGAGGTTAAATGGTTGTTGTTATGATGTTAATTTGACGTTGTACAGATATCTGAGGATATTTAAAGAGGTTTAATCATGGTGGTTGTTAGGACGTTGATTAGACGTACAGATATCTAAAGATATTTAAAGAGGTTTAATGGTGGTTGTAAGGACGTTGACTAGACGTTGTACAGACGTGGAACATCCTTATTCAGGTTCATCATGTTGGTTGGTCGGATGTTGTACCAACGTTGTACTGAAGTTGTAACTACGTTATACAGACGTTAAAAGGACGTTTGTCAAGACGTTGGGTAGACGTCAGTTTTTGACGTCTGAAAAATTTCATATACAACCAAAATCCAACGTAGGCTCGACGTTAGGGTCTGACGTCGAAATGATGTTTATACAACGTCAAATGTCTGCTGGGACGTTTCTTCACGATGTTCACTTGAAATTTATAAAGGACTGAATATAAAACAAAACTTTTCTACTAGTTGCTACGGAAGACTGCATGTTGCAATACAGGCAAATTAATAATTAACACAATTAACAAATTGGTATATAAATCGATAGCTAATTTTTTTTTACTTGAGAAAATTTGTATCGTTATAATGATTGACAAATTTTTTCAATTGTTACATTAAAAAACTTCCGTGACGTTTAGTCTAATTCTGCTATCTCCATATATATAAATACATATCAATATAAAACGGAACTATGCAATAGTCTAGATAAAGCGCAGCATAAACAATAAAAAAAACTTTATGACGTTTATCTCGATCCTTTTAACTGAATAAAGTACAGTTGTTATTGAAATTTGGTTTATTACACGTAAAGGATTTGTCACTCGTCGAAATAGAAACCTATCTTAAAATTCAAGAACATTAAACAAACGGAAAGAAGGAATTCTTGAAAGGTGGTAAGTTTGTTGTCAGTAAATGTCTGTCTGTATGCATGTATTATTGTCATAATGAATAATATCGTATTCTGTGATTATTACTGTTGAGGTTATTCTTTAATCATAATTGATTTGCTATTTTTTTCAGGAAAAAATAAATGAAACCTCCAAAAACTTTTTGATTGGTGTTATTTAATTTTTACAAAAGACATAATAGGGACACATATAAAACAAAATATAGACCGTGATTTCGGATTCCCAGTGCGCGATCTTGGAATAATTATCATTGATCCCGATTCTAATCATTGATCTCAGATTAATAATCCGTGATTTCGATTTCGCATGCCATGATCTCGGATTAATAATCCGTGATATTGGATTCCCAAATCCGTGATCTCAAGTTAATTATCCGTGATCTCGGAATAGTATAATAAAACATTTAATAATCCGTAATCTTGGTTTCCCAATCCATGATCTCGGATTCCCAATCGGAATGATATTTCGTAATCTCGGATTAATAATCAGTGATCTCGATTTCCAATACGTGATCATGTGTCTTGTTCCCTTGTTAAGTGTCATGTTTGTTTATAGTTGAAAACTAATAATGTAAAAAAACTCATCACTTTACTTAATTACTGTGTCTAAAGTACCCCGGCATAAATTGTTTAGTCTAGATAGTATCTAATATTCGATACAGTTACGGACCATCTACAGACAGACAACATGTAGGGTTTCCTTGTATTTTTATGTTATTTGTATGGTTTTGAAGAATATGAATACATATATCACTACTATCGATTGTAAGGTGTAGCATTTCTACAACCGTTCCAGATTAAAAGAGAAATAAGAAAAATGCATCAAATTGATGATTAAAGTGAACTTTCCCTCGAATTTGTTTTATTTCTCATTAAATTTTGCACATTGTACGGAAAGAAACGTATGGATAGAAAGATATGCACAGGAAAATTGCGAGATTAACCACTTTGCGCACCTCAATATTTTGCTGTATGGAAAGAAAGAAATGGGTCATGTCTAATTAGAAGGACTTTGTTTTGTAAATGTGTACGACCCGGTTTCGTCTTAAAACTTTACAAAGTAGGACCCGGTTTCGTCATTGAAAATAATGCATACTAGTATTTATATGAATTAAAATCTGACACTCAACCGGCGATTAAAATGGCTTGTTGCAAAAACGATTTCTATAAGGGGACAACATATTATTTATTTGAATCCGTAAACACTTGAAATACTGCTTTACTGAAACAAAAATAATTCAAATATCACATTGTGCGAAAATAAATATTAACACGTCGGGTGTCACATGTGTAGCAGGTTCTGCCTACCCTTCCGGAGAACCTGATCGATTTTCTAGGACAACATGATATTTTTCGAAGTAAATATTCCACTCGACCTAGGGAGGGGGATAATCTTTCCTATGATAGTTTGAATATAAATGTCTTGAACACAAAATGTTTAACATATATATATATATATATATGCAGGATTGCACTTGATCATACAGCGCAAAGGATCTCAATAATTATGTGTTGACAAATTTTCTTCTCCTCATTGGGACTATTTAGGTTGATGACCTCTTCTGTAGGCCTGTGTATTCAGGGCATACGATACAGTTACAGGGGAGATAATGACGTTGCTAACGTAAAATGTAATTTTTCGCGACGTCAAACAGCGACATATCGGGAAAAGATGCATTTTTCGAGGGATTTTAATCATTAGCTTGAAAACGAGTACACGGACCCCTCATTTTTAAAAGGACATTTGACTTGATACTGTATGAAGATTATTTGTTCCAATTTCTATGATAAAATCACCGATGAAATTGTTTTATATTAGATAAATATACAGCAAACAATGCCATTTTTTCTAAAATCATAAAAATGTGATAAAAATGAATTATTTAAAAAGAATTGTTACACAAATTAAGGACCCATTTTTGTAAGATAGATATTCCAAATCATATTACAAACATCCTCATGTATTTATCTTTTGAAACAAAAAAGTTAAGTATATCTGTCCAAAGGATTGAAATGTCC